TTTCTATGGAGGAGTCCATAGAATGCACCACTCTAGACCAAGAGAGAGCTACTGAGCACAGGAGATGAGAATGTTTTACTGCTATTGCCTGAAACCTTTTCCTTGTACTGTGTGACTTCATGCCAAAATGAGGATGCTCTTGTGCTATCACTTGGTCCTGATGATCAGCAAATGTGGGTTCAGTGCATAAGGCTTGTGTTCAGAGGCTTATAATTTGTTTTTCACCTCTGGTTTTGATAGAACCCGTTTTACTGACTACAGGGCTTATCACAAGTGGCAAGTACAAGTAGCAAGTTGCAGATCCGATAGGTCCCACACTCCTGAGTCTAGTAAAGCACATTTCTTCCAGAGCAATTTTTAATTCTTTGCTCATCAGAAACCAAAGAAATCCAAGAAACAGTGCCTTCATCTTTTTACTGAAATTAGATGAATCGAAGAGACTACACTGTTAGGAAAGTTTTCTTGTCACCCACCTACCTTTATTCACTCTGTTCAACCTCTGCCAAATGTTCCTAGTCATAGTTTGTTGTATTAATCCTAAACTATTCATTTTTTATTGCGAACGGTCTTGAAACACATCTGGACAAAATTCATCCTTTCTTCTTCTCCTCGCACCCCCTCATTCTGTGGTCATGTTGTGGATATTTTATCAATTCATTTTCATCCTTCACACCTTCCAGCTCCTTTCATTCCCTATCCTGTTCCTCTATCAGGTCCATTTTGGAGTGCTGTGACCAAAGCCTCCCTGACTCATCACTTTGGATACAGCCTGTTGCCTGCTCTGATTGGCTGAGTGCTGACAGTCTTTCAACTTAACAAGATGGTGATTTGGCTGGTAGGAGCTACTCAGGAGAGAGGATCTGGAAGCAGCACAAGAGGATGCTCTTGATGTCTCAGACTACTCAAGAGGACAGGCTAACAGCTGGCTTCTGCTACTCAGGCTGCCAACTATCTCTGATGTAAGTTAACTCTCAGCTCATGTAGATGAATAATAAAAAAGGAAAAAAAAGGGGACTTGCTTGAAATAAAAGGTTGATTGAAAAGTATATGGTCATTGGTATGACTAATATAAAACTTTTAAGCAATTTACTGTGAAGACAAAGTTTAAGTCAGGGCTCAAACATTTTCAGAGTTCAACAGCAATGCTGCAGATGAACTCCCATCTGTACTTGCTCTTAACCACTTTCTGATGCAAAAAGGAATGAGGTATATTGAATACATTAGCTGTCATGAATTATTAACATTTACATTGTGGCAGTATACGAAAGGACTCAAATCACACTACAGGTAATGCTCTGAAAAGCTCTATCCACCCACACAGCATCCATCAAAAGAGCTGGTAGGCCATATAATCAAAGTAAACACAGGCTAGAAAGGAAAATGATTTGCCTAAGACCTCATGGTTAACTGGTCCAGAAAGATATCTAGCACAGTTGTATATCGTCTTCTACCCAGTACTCTTTTTGTTAAATCAGAATGATTCACAGCTCTTAATTTATTGCAGACTTTTGTTTTGTGTTATGAGAAACAGTAATCACACGCAAAGCCTGCAGGTAAACGAAAGTCTTATAGTTTTCCCCTTCAATGGAACATGTGATTATTTTATTTCCTATTTAGGAAGGGTTTTTTTTTCCTCCTTCTTCTGAAACATGAATTATAAGACAGATGTGAATTATTAACAGCCCTCTGACAGAGCACTTCAGGATTTCTACCTGTGTACTACTAACCTGAAACAGCAAAAAATGGATAACGGCTCAGGCTTGTACTTCAAAAAGAGATATGTTGAGCAGGGCACTGAGAAGGGGAAATGAGCATGGGAAGAAAAGCAGGAGCGGTGTTTAGAACACTAAAAGTCTTTCCATCCCCTTTCATTTTATGCCAGGAATTTGCAAGTGTTCTCCCTGGATAACAGAAGTGGTGGCAGTACTTTGCTGAGCAATATTTCTCCACTGGATCTCTTTAGCTGCCAGCTGCAAAAAAGCAGGAACAATTCCAGCTTGGGGAGGCATGTGCAGCAACAGAAATGAGCTAGGATAGTGCTTGGGAGCTGTATGACCATCAAAGGTGATGGGAAAGACCTGGCTGTATCCCAGGACAGGGTTATTACAAAGGTGGGATACGAGGCAGTGACAGTAGGAGGCTGAACTCTGCAAAACCATATTCTATCCCTCTAGAAATTAAAAAAAAAAAAAAATCAAATGGCATTTTGTCGCAAACTTACAGTAGACATGATTTACTGGGAGTGTGAAGAGATAACGGCAAGGAGGAGTTGTACCCTACATTGTAAAATGTGGTTATATCCACATAGATAGACAGATCTTCAACAAAACCATGTCTCATCCACTCACAGAGCGTGTAAGCACTCAGACACAGACCTGTGGCTACATCTGTTCTGACAAACTAACTGGTGTTATGGTCTGCCCACTGGCCTTGAGGCTATCTGGCATGATCTGGCCATATCCACATGATCAAATTCTTTCAGCTTCCAAAACAGCATGGGAACATCTAAACTGCCCTTCTGGAAACGGTTCCTTGGGTTGTATTGACCTCTAAATTGTACCCACAAATCTTGGGCATGGGATAGCTGTCCTGGACCAAAACCGTGCTATGAAAGTCATCATTCAATTTAGAACTGAGACACTTAAATGCCTACTGACATTTAAATATGCATTGGATGACCATTACAGACACTAGCATCATAGTAAGTACAGTCAGTAGAAGCCCAAAGGACAGTTCAGCTGACCTGAGGCATCTAGTACTGCTTAAAATGTCCCAAGCAATCAAAAACTTTGGTGTGAAATCTAACACAGTGCCTCCAGGAGATCCTTGCTCTTCTGCTATGAAGTGACAAGCTAAAGGAAATATGTACCTGAAGGTGGCCTACAAGAAAGCTGGAGAGGGACTTTTTACAAGGGTATATGATGATAAGACAAGGGGCAATGGCTTTAAACTGAAAGAGGGTAGATTCCGATTAGATATAAAGAAGAAATTTTTTACATTGAGGGTGGTGAGGCACTGGAACAGGTTTCCCAGAGGAGCTGTGGATGCCCCATCATTGGAAGTGTTGAAGGCCAGGTTGGATGAGGCTTTGAGCAACCTGGTGTAGTGGAGAGTATCCTTGACCATGGCAGGGGGGTTGGAACTAGATGATCTTTGAGGTCCCTTCCGACTCAAACCATTCCATGATTCTATGATTATAGAGCATTTTAAGTGGCACTAGACATCTCTCCACAGGCAGCTGAATCAAGGACACAGGTTTCCATGAGCCGTAATGGGACACATTGCCAGTGTCTACATGGTGACCACACATGTTCTTCAGAACTATATCTAAGTTTATACGTCTTCAATCCAATTTGAATTCACTCATATTTAATGTCTGGCTTACTTGTCAAATCTTTCCAGTAATTTTTGATTGCTGAACAAGCTCTGAGAGCTACATCACAGATTTACTGTAGTATTTTGCACTCTTAAAGTAATATGTTCATTTATGCTTTGGGTTTCTTTATCATGATTAAGAAAACAAACAAATGGGTTTTCATTTTCATCTATAAACAATGGTATTATCACAAGTGCCCATTCAAATCAAGAGAAAACTGGCATCTTGGCCCTGGAAAAACACTAGCTGCAAAAAAGTTCTGCCACTCACAATAATAAAAGTTTATTCTTGAGTTTCACATCTCCCTTGTACCATGGTCTGATCCCATCATGTTGATGGGAAACCATAATGATATAGACTGAAATAGTTGCTTAGGTTGTGAGCCTGGGTCAATCTTAATAAGGTTTGATGATCTGAATTGACAAAATTCCCCTTGCAGTAAACAAAGAACAAGAAAATGAAAGATCGGAAAGTCCTGATGAAGTGGGTAAGAAAGGCATGGCTCCAACAGAATGGCAGAAACATATCTACCAGAAAGTTTTCTTTTAATTAAATACATCATGAATATCTTATATCTTCTATACAATATGACTGTTCAGTGCATGAGAGATGGGCCCATGAAATCACAAAATGTTGAATCCAGTTTTAGAAGAAAATAGAACACAACACATGAATCTGATAGTTTACAAAATTAACATAGCAGTAAAATCAGACGGCAAAGATTTTCTGCTTAAGGCATGAAAATCTGCTCTATTCATGACCACTTAGTCTTTGGGCGCATTTGGGGAAACCTCTCACAATGAGCATAAACAGAAACTCTCTCAGAACTTGACTTAAAATATAATTAAATTCAAACTTTTTTTTTAAGACTGTATCACCTTATCAAATGAGGTGTTCCTCTCATGATCTGGAGGTATTTTATAGGTCAGCACTCAGAAAATCTTGGCAAAGTTTGCAATTCGCCCACTAGGTCTCTGACTGTTTCTGGGACTCGGCCATCGATCTCGCTTTGAACATCTGAGTGTCAGTGTCCACACTGAGCTGGATTCTCTTTTCTACAAAGGCCCATTTATATAGTCCTGGTACCTGAAGAGTGACAAGATAGCAGTAGACCACAACCTCCACTTGACGGGTTACTTAACACTGCCAGAATTGTCTCAGGACAGGAATCAAGACCATAGGTAGGAAACCAAGATAAGAAAGATAAGCAGCTTGCTGAGAATCTCAGAAAAAATGGAACTTGGGCAGGCACAAGTAAATAAAATAAACCAAAAAGTGTCCTGTAGCCTGGATAGTTCTCATAGCTGTCCATACAGCTAAGTTATCCTCCCCAGAATCATGATGACTACATTCAAATTGCCAGATGAGAATGGTCCCTGTGCTCTCTCTCAAACCATGCCTGAGAACTAGCTGGACAAAAACAAGTAGCCAGAAAAAACAGTGCCAGAGACCACGTGGACAACAACATGGACTAATGTATGCCAGTGCCAGGCTTTTGACCTAGTTTAGGACCCAGGAGAGAAGGAGGAGTCTTGGGACTGTGTTCAGATCCAGCACCTCTCTCAACATAAAACATAGCAAGTGATACCCATGCCGATTTTCCAAAAGTGGAATGGTTACTTACAAATGAAGAGACATACGGTGGAACACGAGGTCCTTGCCACAAACACTGCCACCAGAAGCTTGACTGAAGTTGGCACAGGCTGTGCAAGACATCACAAGGATATCTGTGGAAGGGAGGAGATGACTTCCTTTCTGCCCTGTGACAGAGCCATCGACATCCTCAAGGATGGCAGAGTGAGGAAAGGGGAAGGACACTTGGAAAGGTGAATTGATGAAGGTCAGACGTTCAACTCTCACTGTAAACCCACCTAGGGAGGGAGAACAAGCAGCATTTCAGAAACACAGACTGATCTCTTGAAGTAATAGGTCTGAAGACATCTCTGGAGAAAAAGAGATTAGCTTCACTTCACCTTCGCTTTGGAAAAACATCTGCTGAGTCTACAAGAAGAGGAGATTCAGGAAAATAATAAAATCAATAGAGATGGTTGTAGATTGCAGTGCTATGGCCAGGTCCAACCTGCCCCGCACCCTGTCGTGACAAGACTTGTGGTTAGAGACTCCTCTGATCCAGGTGCTGTTCCTGGCTCTACCAACATCTCGTCAGTGACTCATTGCTTCTTCACAAGTCCCAATCCCAAAAGTTACAGTTCCCAAAACAGTGATTTGTATAGATCTTTTCTGCCTTGTGTTTAAGATAAATTCTTTAGAGATAAGGACTGTCTATGTGTGTGTGTGTAAATATACTTGTGTGCATATATATAGCACCTGGCACAATAAAGCTTTGGCTGAAAAGTATGGCTGGAGGATCTTTTCATTACTACAAAGAGGAGGAACATTCATGTGGGCTAAAGCACAGGAAATTTTTGAACACATTAATATTTCTAGAAGTGTCAGAAAATGATTGCCCCATGGACCATAACAAGTCAGCTTTGGCATGAATGTTCATGCACCGCATTTGGTTACTATTTGACTATCATATTGTCATTTGCAGCCTCTCTGAGTCAGATTTTACTATTCCTCCTGTCCTTTGATCTCACCTCCTGAAGTCTTTTTCTCTGTTAGGTTATTGTAGGGCAGCATACGTTTATATATAAATATATTTAAGAGGTAATTGCAGTTGGAACATTCTTCAAAAAGCCTTTGGGTACCTCTTCAAAGCTCAAAAGGATGTTTAGTTCACACATGTTATCTTAGGCAAATTCACCTAGGGTTTAGGCTGGCCTGAGGTGGGATCCTGGTGAAATTCTGTGAGGATGTGTCATAGCTGTTAAAGAAATCATCGCTCTTGAAATTTTACCTCCAAAAATGAAGAAGCAGTAACAAGTCAGTGTATAAAAACTTTTTCCACTGAGAAAACGAAATCAGTGCAAAAATAAGGCTACTTTTGTCTTAAAAACATGTGAGGTATGTGGCCTCAACTAAATGATGAAGCTATTTCTAAGGGAGATTGTCTGGAGAGAACCTGCAACCTCAGTCCTTGCAGAGCAGAGCAGCTAAAGGGTCTGATTCAGCCCACCAGCAGTGTTAGTAAAGTGCACACATTAAAGAGGGTGAGCATTGTTGAGGACTGGTTGTTACGCTTATCACTACAATCCCAGCTCAGGGATTTTCCCAGTTCATCTGAGCATGCACACCATGCAAAGTATTTATCTTAAATCTACATATTGTCATCTCATGCCCCACCTCCCTGCCAATGGGGAAGAGCTATTATCCTTCCTAGTTGGGAAAGTGAAATGTAGACAGTGAGACTTTTGAAAACTATTTGGTGCCATGAAAGCTAAGCAAAGCAGGTATGCAAACACCTCAAAACCTAGCTCTTGATGCAAGCACACTGACAAGATTACAGAAACAAAACTGGGGCCAGTACTCTTCATCATCATACAGTGGTTTTTGTAGGATTCAACTGAAATATTTATCAATGGTTGTCTGTGGAAACTATGAGCTTTTGAATGTCTGAATCTGAAACGGGAGGAAGAAAAAGACTGTGGAAGCCCTGCTAAACCAGAGCAAATCAGACTCACCCTGCCCTTGGTAACAGCCAGAACAAGTCCTGATTGCAGTGCATGTGTTCGCATCAAAGTTCCTGAAAGTTGTGTTGGAGATGAATAGCTGGTATCTTTTGGGAGTTTTTAGTCCTGCTGACATACAGGTCCGATCCTGCAACAAAGAAATGAAAAGCACTGGGAAATATATCACCATGTGAATCTCCAAGTCTAACGAGTCCAGGATGCAGCAACTGGGACACAAGGATGTGACTGCACCCACGCCCATGGTTGTGGGGCAGTGTAGGCTGTTTGAAGGACACATCTAAGCTACTGCTTTGCAAATTCGGACAAGTAACCTCTGTTTAATTCACCATTTGCAGTATATGTTAATATTACATTCAAAGCAGTGATTGCCTTGTTTGCTTTGTCTGGCTTGTTTCAGTACTAGTCAAGGTTGGAGGTTTGGAGGGAAAGGAAATTGCACATTGCCTGGGAAGAAAGAATTCACCTGGAAGGCAGATTTGTTTACAGTCCCTTTTACTTTACCTTGCTTGGTCCAGCAGGCAGGATATTTCCCTGTTCTACAAAGCTGATCATCCTAATTTACGTTCTAACAAAAACCTGTCTGTTGAGATTCAAAGCCCTTTTGTGTGATTGGAGATGGGGGGAAGCATTTAAGCCAGGCTCTCTTCAAAGCTCTGGTTGACTTCTTCATCCATTAGAACAACAAGAAGTTAAGTATACCAGTAAGAGACAGGAGAAAACACAAGTGCAAAGGAAGAGCAAAACCCACAAGTGATGGGAAACACAACAAACTAGATTTTGTGGTGATTGTAGGCCATGACACAGGGGAGGTGTACATCTCTCTGCCAATTTATCTTGGAGACAGGCTGGGAGGAAGGATGTACTCAGAGTTAGTGGGTAGCCTGGAGGAGAAAGGGCTGGTGAGAATTCGTGATGCTATTTGAGGCCAATAAACAGTTTTGTAGAACAACTCTTAAAAGCCATAGCATAGAATCAATTGAGAAATCCACCGTCTGTGAAAACATCATCTTTAATTGAAAATGTAGAATGAAATGAACTTTTATAAGTAGTTTATTACTTCAAAGAAATGGTGCTATCTTCAGTCTCATTAAGAGAGAGCAGCTCCATCATCTTTTTTTACTCTGAGGCCAAACCACCTGGGGCGATGGTCCTAGTCCTTGGGTCATCTTCTTCCAAGTCACTGCTAAGCAGAAATCCCTGGCTTATGGAAAGAGTCTATTGGTTTTTTTCTTACAGTTGCCTGTTCCTCCATACCACTCCTATTTCTATGTTTTTTTTAGTGAATTTATTTTATATAAATAAATAGCAACTAGAAGAAGGGTCTATTGTGTGTCACCTGACTCAGACCTGCTTTTTCAGGAAGAAATGCTTTTCCTCAACTGGCTCCACAAAGGCAATGAGTTGCTTTACGAAAGTATGGAAGAGGTGCGCTGAATGTCTAGGAAACTAATGAAAGTCTTTCCCACGGCTTTTACAGTCCTTAGATCTAGCCTTACCACTAATGTTCTAATCGATCAAAGCCCAAAGTTTCAAATGCCCTCATATTTCCAGAAAACAATCTTGTTTTAAAGCACTGCTTTCAAAAACTAGAAGGGCTAGCAGAGAGGAATATCCAAGGTTCCCATTAAATTAATGTCATGAAGTTTTAATTGATATTAAAAAGACATCATTATTAAAGGGAGAATTACATAAATTAAGATGTAAATTATGACAAGGAGGCTCTTATCATGAGATAATCAAAGATAATCACCCCCCTGGGGTACTGCAAGAAACAAGGCACAGCTGAGGCCTCTAAATCTCTTAACAAGTACAACATTGGAGTCCTTCCATGGATCCTGCACAGCGAAAACAAAGACATCCACCCTTTGGTGTCCAAGATAAATTCATTGTGTCACTGGCATGCTGCAAGGTTGGACTGGTGAGACCAGGATTATATCTGAGCTACATACTTTCAATAGATCTTCTACAGAGGTTTCTTTCTGCAAGCTTCTAAAGAAAACTCATTTAAAACTGTTTTTCTGCCAGTCAGAGAGAAAATGAATTTCATAAACAACAGTAGAAAACTGAGCAGGGCAAAAAATCCCTCAAAATCATGAACAAGCAGCTGTGGCCAGTTGTAACTAAAATTCCATTGTCATCCATGTTATTAATCTGTTAACAACCTGGTTGCACCCAAAGGACTTTGTCCAGCTGCCTAAAGAAATAATGGAAGAAGATCATATTTACTGCATAGACAAAAATGTTACATTTTGACTGTGTTTTTCACTCTCAAGTAAATATAAGGACTGTGTGTTCCAGGCAGACTAATGATGCTATGAGAGAGCAGAGGAAACCAAAATGTTAATTAGAATAGAAAACAAATCTGTTGTCCCCCTCATTATTCTCAAATCACTCAATCTGATCAATCAATCACTGGTTCTCAAATCATTGTGTACGGTTAAATAGTGTCTGTTTATTACAGCAAAAGGTATTTAGGAATCTATGTTAGAAAAGTTTATTTAAACAAAAATTATGATTTCTCTAAAAAATTCAGGTTCTGTGTAATTCTAAGGGTTTTCTGAGACCATATGAATCTTGGGAAAAAAAACCACAAACGAATGTGTGTGTGGGAAAAAACTAACACTTATCTTACTAAAATCTTCAACTCATAAGTTGAACAAAAGTGTGACTTCATTTTTAATTTTGTATATTGTTTTATAAAGAATATACATGAATATGCTTTAGAATATAAAATCTTTTAATAGTTCCAAATTCAAATAGAAAAATCAGAGTCCTTGTTTCAAATCTGTTTAAAAAATCTTCAAAACTTCCACACTGAAATAAAAAGACATTTTGAAAAAATGCTGAATTTTCCTGCAGAATGCAACCTCCAGTTTCTCATCAGCTGGTATAAATGGGGCACCTGAAAAATTATGCAGGATCTAGCTGATCAAATACTATTTCTCTGCTGCTGCTGCCAGCAAAAGCAACAAAATCCTTGGTTCCAGCAGGCTGGGAGAGCAGTACTGGTGCAACAAGTTTCTCTGCTTTATCACCAAATCAATGTCCCTTGCAGGTGCTGCTACTGAAGGCATGATCTTTCCAAGACTTGGAAGATAGCTAGAGGACTAAGCAAACAGATCAGTGCCCAAAACTCATCCTGAAGCTGTATTTCTCTTTACATGCAATCTATTTAAAATCCAAGTTTTACCCAAGCTGCCATGGAGCAGGGGCTGTTCTTCAAGTTGCTTTTTTATTTCTCCAAATTCCCATTTGATGGGTTGCTGTGCAACTCAAGAGACATTGAAATAATTCCCACAGTGCTTACCTTTTGCCTAACGTGTCCAGTAAAAAAGTTGTTAGCTACAGAAGTGTTTCCCAGGCTTTCTATAATGTCAACGCCAAAGTCTTTGCAAGCATAAATCCAGAAATGTTGGAGTTCAATGTTGCGGCTTCTAAAAATCTACATAAAAGCATAATAAAGGAAAATGATACATAAATGAATATATGGGTTTACAACTCTGCTTTCCTTACAATACAGTAGAAAGGGGAAGTGCAAAACCTCATAAAAGTGTTGAATGCATATTTAGTGTTTGAGAATCTCCTCTTAATGTCTAGTTTCTACTTTCAATTAGTAATACAAAAATCTTTATGTCCTGTTAACTTATTTTCATGTTAAAAGAAAAAAGAACAACATGAAAGAAAATCAGAACCAAGAATCAGTAATAGGAGGAAAGTGCTCTAAATTTGGGGGAGTTTATTACTGGGAAAAATATTAGGGTAAAGAAGTTAATGTTTGTGACAGAAGGATGCCATGAAAATAACCAGAGGTATTGCTTACAGTCACCTAATAGCAAGAAGACTGTTCCTAAAGGGAACCCATAGAAAGAAGCAGAATAAACTTAATTATTAATGTATGCTAGGTCAGTACCATACAAAGAAATTATAAGTTAGAAAGAGAAAACCACAAAAACAAAACTGCAAAACATCCTTTAATTTTATTTCTTTTCATATAAACTTTTGCAGAAATAGAATGCACTAGTCTGAAAAAAAAAACCACACTGAAAAATTGGACACCATCAAAAGAAGAGCCATAGGATGGGTTAGACTGGAAAATATGCCTTACAAACACATCCAATCTGTTCAGGACATCAGATGGGGGGTTAAGAGGATCACAGCCTCTAAGCACCAGTATGGGAGGAAAGTATCAGATAATAAAGGGTGGCGTGGAATTTTAATCAGGTTAACTAATCATGAGCTACAATAGCTAGAAAGTGAAGCTAGACAAATTCAAACAAACAAACGAAAAAGGGCACATTTTTAAAAGGATGAAAAAATTCCCATGGAAACTGTTAACCCTATGAAGATAATGGATCCTCTACCAACTGCAACGTTTACGAATAGCTCAAATCCACTGGGAGGATTTTTTTGGCTGCATAAACTAGTGGAAGGTGTCCCTGCCCATGGCAGGGGAGTTGGAACTAGATGATCTTTAAGATCCCTTCCAACCCTAACCATTCTATGATTCTATGATTCTAGTGGCAGCCATACGCTAGATGATTACAGAGGACACCAACTACTGACGAAAGTAGCAGTGGTTCTGCAGTGAAGCAGTAAGGAGAGCTCACACAAATAATGCTTCTGGCTTTATCACCAAAATAGGAGCTTCCAGCTGAGGGACATGGACATACAGGTACAAGAGCTTTTACCGTAACTGTGGCCTATTTGCAGCCTTAAAAGATGAAGTCAGTGTAGAGGTGATATACTTGTAAAGATCCTGAGCATCACAGAGGACAAGCAGGACAAACATACCTGTGCTCCACCTTGGCTGCTCCAAGCTGTGAAGTTGTTGAACTGAACAAGTCTGTTTGGGCTGTCTGGTAAATATTCTGGGTACACCAGCAAGCCATATCTGTCCAGGAAAGAAAGCAAAGGAGATTGTTTCTTTACAGTGCATGTATTCGTGAGCAGATTTTCCTATTCATCATTTTGATATCTAAAATCTTAAATCTTTAACAGTTGTCTGCAAGAGACCTTATCATTTCTTCCAAAATCAAAAACTGGTAGATAGCAATATTTATTTTAGGCATCTCATCATGCTGGACAGCATGCTTAAAATACGTTTTTTTCAAGTATTTTCAGAATTAGCCACGTCAGGGCTAACAACCAGTGTACACTACCACTGATAGGTGCTCACTGCAAAACACCCCCACCATGTTCATGGGCTTTCAACTAGTGTCAGCTTCAGATGAGCCCAGCGTGAATCTGGACGGATAAGGCTTTTCTAGATCTTAGATTCAGCCAATCTGGAGTGCACTCCAAATGTATGCGCTTCTGGAATGCAGCTATTGGTTTGACCTTCTCACAGATTTAAAATCTAGATTAATATCCAGATTTCCTCAAAATTCAGGTGACTCTGTCCACTGACTTTTAGCATACTGTCATTTTATACTTTCATTTCTGTCTTAGACAAGTATAGGCAAAAGTTCTAGTGAATAGCTGCTCCTGGATGCTACAGAAACAATTATAATAATGTCTGACACACACGCAGCACCTCTTATTCTGTTGGACTGCAAAGTGTTTAGTCTCCTTTTCAATCTACTTAATCAGAGGCCAAACTCTAATAACTGAGTGCCCATGCTGCTAGGATAAAAAGCATCTGGAGCTAAGAAACGCCACTCCAGAGTGTCTAAGCCAGTATCATGTCTCTAATTGTGGCCTGCTGGAGATGTTAAAGAAGGAGAGTAAGAAAGAAATCGTGTTTCTGTTCTCCTGCATGCCACCGTCTTCTGCTCAAAAGGTCTCGTATACTTAAAAATGAGTTTTCAATTCAACACATGAGTGCATACTTCAGTGCTTTGCTGTTAAATGGTTGATGAGGAAACATGTTAAATGTGGCACCTTAAACTACATCAGGATCATTTAAACAAAGTGATAAAGTGGAGGAGCTTGTTAAACAGCACTGGGAAATGCTGCACGTTAACAAATTGGGCTTGTGAACGAAGAAGAACTGACCATATTGAAACTGCTATGGAAATCATTTACAATCCGGCCCTGAAAAACACCCCCAACCACATTGCTGTCAAACACTAATTCTGCTTTGCTGTGGAGAACTCTGCTTACAAGAGAGGAAGCCCTAAAAGCGTGTAAAACTGGGGAAAAAATATATCCTTTCTGCTTACTACTGCAATTATAGTTAACACTACTGTGCACGGAAGGAAAATCTCATTAACGAAAAATCCCAAGTACCTTGTACAGGAATGAGCTACGTTCTCACTGAAGGACAGTAGAGGTATTTTGGATGGTCCACCAGGAGAGAGATGAAAGAAGTAGCCATAGCCAGCAGCACACACTGTGTTACCCTGCAAATAAGCATATACAACTATGAAAAATGATTACCACAGATTTCTGGAAATTAAAATAAACTTAAGAAAATCCCAAATTAAAATGCCAGCTGAGGTCCATTCAAATTTAAGTAAGACTGGCTGGTAAGCTAGTACCTTGTCTCTGTGTCCTGTCTCATTTTATTTTCTCTCTGTCCTCGGGTGAGTCTTAAAAAAATCTGTTTTCAAGTCAGGCAACAAGGGTTGGCCAAGAAATAGAAACAAATGACAAAAAATAAAATGGTATTGCTATAATTCTTTAAGAAGTAGGTAAGAAAAAAAGTGCGTGAAAAACTTCTTACCCCCATAAAATCCTTTCTAAGTAGGAAGGTGATGTCATGAAAGAAAAGTAAATCACAAACTACTCAGTTTATTGATGTACTTCTCAATCTGTATTTTTCTCATATCTCCCAAAGAAATACAGAAAAAAGAAGCAACATTGCCGCGAAAAAAGTGAGAGCCTCTAAAAGTCAAGAGAAAAGAGAGAACTACATCTTCAGGATATGTCAGTGGCTGAACAACTAAAGTTACTAAGACTTGTGGTAAATTACTTGCTCTGAATTATTTTTAACAAAGTGAATAGCCATAGGGAGATGAGCTGTAAGTTATTGTCAATGTCTCTTTATGAAGAAATTATGGAGTTGCATTCTTTGTATTTTGTCTCTTTCATGAGGTGAAAAATAAGTGAACATAAGGTCTGCCTGGCCTTAAAATTAGGAGTTTGGTACTTACGGAGTCTGTAGCAAGTGGATTATGCAGGGGGATATACAGCGGGTTTAGGAGCTTTTCTACTCTAGGGCAAAAACCTGCTCTTATCTGCTTCATTTGGACAGCAGTCAACCTGTGTTGGTTTTGGACGGTGTTCATACAGTGATGTTTTCATGTGCACATCTGGGCGTGATCCCTCTTACCTATCTGAGATGTGTAAAATTCCATGCTGAAGTCCAGGCTGGTAAACCTAGGCTCCCCTTCCAGGAAAAAAATAAGGCATAGGCATGTCCAGAGGGAAATTCTTCTGGTCTATTCTTAGGAAAGATTAATTGCTCTCTGGAGGTATCTAATTCTCGCAGAGGAGTCTAAGATAAGCCTTTTTGCAGCTATAAGAAGAGCTTATTCTCTAAGATCGGGATTGACACTCACCACTACCATTCATAGGTCATTGGACAGTGTTAAAACACTAATGACTTCTTGATCCCTGATGGTCCAACTCTCAGCTGAGCTGGTGAACTAGAGGTGACAGCTTCCATATACCAATTACTTTCTTCTGACCCATCCAAGTGTGTTCCCTACAGTTGTGATCTCTGACATCTGTCAAGCAACAAAGAGACATCAATACCCAAAGCACTGCTTTCTCCATCCCCTGGTAAAACTGCTGCCTTTTCCGAAAGCACAGCCACAGACCCTTTTCCTTTAAGAAAATACTTCTGCAGTCCAGTCACATTATTTCCAGGATCTTTTACTTGCGACTCCCATCGTCCGTTCTACGGATGATTCATAAGGAAAAAAAACCTGCATATTTATTCAGTCAGCTAGTGGCTGGAGGGCAGGGGTTTTAGGCAAGCAGGGAATTTTGTGTGGAAATCAATTCTTCGTGGAAGTCAGTATATTACGAATGTCCATGCAACCAAAATTCCAGAGAGAAATTACCTCCCTGAGCATGCCAAATACCTGGAGGTATGCATTGCAAGTCAGTAAAATAAAGTGGCTGACGTTTTAAGTGTCTCTTAATCGTACAACACTGCTAATGTAAATATTTCATGAACTTTTAGATAGCCGGAGCTCAAACTGTTGATGACATTAAAGATGACATTAAAGCTCTGGAGAGCCTGCCCAGCACTGCTCCTCCAGGTTCAGAACCTGGCAGGATGTGAGTAGTACCCACAGCGTGCTCACTTCGAACTGCTCTCACCTTACAAAAGGTTTCAGAAAAGATCTCAGAAGAGGTGAAATGGTGAGAAACAATCGATGCCTAACAGATGCAGCCTCACCTCTTTGGTACTGTGGAGAATGGCTGGGTTGGGTGATACTGGGAAACATTCATTTATCAACAGCGTGACCATCAGTCACTCCCCTGACATGGAAACACGGGCTGATCTCCACCCCATTCATTCATTTAAGCTGTTTCCCAGTCCTCAACATCATGGCAAGAAAAGAAAGAAAGGATGCTTGTTGAATTTCTTAAACCCAGTCCATATGTTGTTATGCATGAGAACTGCACACTTGCTCTGGAATTTAAGGACATTTAATGTTTATGAACAGGAAGTTACTACAAAAGGTCCAAGACCCATTGAGTCCATGAGAATCAAGAGAAAAAGATAAAAAACTTTTTTTTTTTCCTTTTTCCTGCACACAAAAAGAAAACTGGGATCATAGGGCATGGATTTCAGTGACAAAAGGGCCAGTACCAAAGAGGAGCATCTACAGTTCCTCGTGCTGATAACATTTAAAAGGCAAGAAACCAGTCTGCTAATGAAATTGTCTTATGAAACTGAAAAGAGATAACCAGGGCTTCCATATTTTGTTTAAAAAAAAAAAGCTCAAACCTAACCTTGTAATAATCATTTTGCACTTATACTGTATGAGTACAGAATTTTATCTATCAGCCTGATTCTCAAATGCACTTAAGAGCTTAAGTCAAACGGAAACCAGTGGGAATTGGGTCTCCGAATGTCTTTGTAGGCTCAGGTTTGAGTGACTGCTCTGTCCCAATTTCAACACCGTTTAGGAGACCACTGATTTTCAAGGAAATTTAAGCTCTTCAGTCACTGATGCAAATTTAGGCTCCCAAGTAAATTGAGCAGTTATGAAAACATTATTGCAGGACTCACTGTGGAAAGCTTAACCCATCATGCACAGAAGATGTAACACAGTACGGACCTAGAGCTCTCTGTCTGGTTTAGGTGTAATCCTTGCCTTAAAGATTGCAGCCTGTAAGTCTAAAACCAGTAATTGAAAGATGGCAATCTGAAAACAAACAAAAAAAACCCCCACAAACACACACAAAAACCAACAACTACCTAACATTCAAATTTTGAGGTGTAAATTTCTATTCCATGTCATGGCCTGGAAACTAGGCAGTGAGAAGATCAGTCTTGCCCATTACATTCTTCAAACCTCCCTATTAAATTAGAATTATAAATACCTAAAAAGCGATATCGAGTTCTTGAGACATTTGATCACATAAAAGGTGCTGAAACTCTGTTAACATCATGATGCTGGTGTTGGACCAGCATCCCTTGAATTTAGTGATTATTATTGTACTAAGAAATAAGTCCACAAGACACAGGTGTTTTGCTTGGAAGAAGTATGACTTTTTCTCTTAATATCTATGTCCTTTCATGTCTTCTGCTGAGCACTGCTTGATTCTATAGAACAGTAAGTGCAGCTAATAAGAATTTTAAGCTAGGCAACTTCTTCATATTTGCCTTTTGCTGCTGCAACGCCTCAAATAGCCCAACAAGGAGGTTTATCAGCAACCCTTCAAGGGCCATCTGCTATTCTGCCTTGAGTAGCACACGTCTGGAGAGCAGACGTATCGCTGATGATCGGGTACACAGCCACAGACGCAGCTTTGGGCGTATGTGTGAAGACACGTGAACCGAGAGAGCTAAACAAATGTGCTGAAAACCCACCACAGTCAGTTGACACGTACCCGCAGAGATAATTGCAGCAAACCTTTTCAAAAGCTGAGCCACTGGCGATCGAGTAGACAGCTCCAGGGTAAGGCAGTGCATGATAGTGTTTAGTGGAGCTGAAATTCATGTGGTTCTGCCTAGTTGTTGTACTTTTTAAACACGTTCGATGGTCTTAAAAATGATAAATATGCCCTTGAGGGAATTGCAGAAAAGTCCTCTTCTTCTTCCTAAGTGCTATTGTCTTCGTACTAAGGTAGGAAACGTGTTTCTTTTTCACCTTCAAATCTAGGCGAAATTTTTTCCTTTTGGAACAGAAGCTTAGGGGGTGATTAGGTCTTCGCATACACTTAATAATTTGTTTGGTTTCTGTGAGTTAGCAATAGAACAGGTCAGGATTTTTTTTTTTTTTTATGAAAATGTGCATTTGTCACAACTGAAACTGTGGTAAGACAGGTCAGTTTCAATGAAATTCCAGACTTAAAATAGTTAGGAAGGAAAAATGGTTTGAAATTGCTGAAAATCATCCTTTTTTTCCATGAAACACTTAAAAGTGACTCTTTATTCTGAAATGTAAGTGACTTGAATAAGACAAAAAAATGTATGAACTAAAAGAAAGCATCAGAGAATTTGTGAATAAAAAGATTTTTACTGAGTTCAACTTTTTGATGTGAGGGTTGTTAGTCTGTCAGCTTTTTAAGAGTTCCTTGGTTTATTGCTATTTAGAGTAGAGAAGCTTGGTTTCTTTTAAAATCAATGTCATTTTCATAGGACAGGGAATGCATTCTCCTTCTCACCCTGGAATGCAAATCTTAGACTGTACATAAGTTGGCATTTTAGATCCAGACAGAGGTGCATTTGATTTTGCTGAATGTTAGTTTGTTTGTCATCAGTCCATTAAAATCAAGACTTTTCTTTTATAATGACAAAAGTAGGAAAAAATCCTAGGGAAGCTGAGCCTAAACTTTTTTTCCAGTTTAGGAAATAAACTGAAATATAGAAATTAAAATTAATTAGAAAATAAATAACAGAAAATAAAACAACTTTTTGAGGTATCTCAGGATGAAGATTCTCATTGAAATATTTCATTTCATTCAAGTGCAGTAAAATTTTCAGTAACAATACATTTGCCCATGAATATAATTTATTTTGTATATACGCTTGTTTTAATATCCCAGTACAAGTACAGTTTATGACAGCTCAGCCAAGAAGTAAATGTTGTATACATAACTTCCCAGATAAATGAAGCTCCATATCTTTCTGATGTCTTTGATTAGAAAGGAAATGTTACATTTTATACCTGAACTTCTTACCTCGATGTGGTTGGCAGGAGCCCTGACATAGATCCCTGCTGGTGACAGTGTCTCAATGTTGGATAAACCATCTGTTCCAGAAAGGCCAATCACTATGTTGTTACTGACTTTGTTTCCCTCTTCCAGTCCTTCTCCTTTTACGAAAAAGAAAAATGAAAAACAAACAAAAAAAAAGATACAAAAGAAAAAAAGGAAGGAAAAAGGAAAAAAGAAACAGAAATGTAAATATTGCTAAATAGAAATAACTTTCTATTATGCAAGTCACAGAACTTGCTGGGTTTTGCCCTGCCTGCTTTGCTGGCATGACCCACTTGGTAATTAGCTTTCTTTGCTAATTGTCCCAGGGTAAATCACTGGTAAATTCGAATAGAGCTTAGAAACCTGTGTTTAACACATGGCAGAAGACTGCTGTGAGACGGTCAGATGGCCATGACTACTCAACCCAGTGGTGCATGACATGGAAAGGGGAAGGCTGTGTGCTTCAGAAATGTCAGGAGGCCACAAGCAAGATCTGATCAACATTGAAAATATGATAAAAATCAGTTTCTGCCACAAAGAGCTTACACTCTAATGAGAGAAAAACAATCAGGGAAAGGAATACTACAACAGATATTCTACAAAGAGGCAATAGAGACCATGATTCTGTGATTCAATATGCACATGGCCCTGCATCATGTGTTATATGCAACACCAGCCATACTGTACCCCAGGTTTATGCAGGAAATAAACACAGGGAATATTATAATGCACATTTACAGTTGGAAAAATATTCGGAGTGTGGAAGTGGTTCATCTATGCACACACAGGCATGCTTCTGGCAGTACTAGAATTCAAAGTTGTATCTCCTGTGTCTCCATCCACTGCCCTACTTACATGTAAGAAAATTTCTAAATAGACTTCAAAACATCCAGTGTAACTATGCACAAAAGTGGGGGGTTTGCCCCCTAAGCAATGAAGTATGAGAAGAAAAAGGGAAGATCAATCAAAAAATTGATCACTCAACTCAGTCATGGGGTGCCCTAGATCTAGAAACAGTATTGAAGTAGGAAGAAAAATATATATATATATTTTTAAACCCCATCATAAAGAAATGTGCCACCCAACAGCAAAAAGTGGACAGTCACCTGCAGGTCAAGCCTGAATAAGGACACATCAGCGTATGTCCCTCTGCTCTGGCTTTTTGGAAGCAAAATACAAAGTGGATTATTTGTGTTTGGCCTACATCAGGAGCAAAATAAATCTATTCAGTTTTGTTTATTGAACATAAATTATTATCTTCAGCCATACCTGCTCAAGTTGTGTCCCAAATACAGATCCCAAATCATTACTACTCCAAATGTAAGCCAATTCATAGGAAAATCTACGTCCTTTGGTTTTGAGGACAGCAGCAGTTATTTTTAGCCTTCCTCTCAGTCCTTTGAGCTTTTCTCCATTTTTGGAACAAGATCCATTTAGGAAATCTTTCCTTTCCAGGCTGTATTTACTACAAACAATGCCACTACCAGGGCATGAACAGGATCCTAAAGCAGTCTTTTTGACAGCCATTTAGGTTTGCAAGGTGTCATAAAAGGTCTTGGCTTCCAAGCTGAGACCTGGTGTGTCAATTAATTTTAAGCCCAGAGCGACTTTTTATGACTGTCTTGCAAACCCCCTGAAAATAAGGAGTTTAGATGAAATCACTGAGGGAGTCCAATTCAGGAGCTGCAAATAGCCAGCTATAATAAATATTCCTTCACAGGCAACAAAATGATATATAAATTCATCCATCAGACCCTCTGGAGCTGCTGACAATGAAGCCATTAAACACATCTTGGGGATAAGGTGTATTCAGGCTGAGACTTCAGCGGAAACGTTCAGCTCAGCCCAGAGTCCTTTAACTCAGACACATGTCCTAGCACGAGTGAGCCAAGGCATGCTGGCAGGATGGAGATCTTGTTCTGCTTCCCCGCGGTGACAAGGACTCTGTGCATCATATGGGCAAGTCATTGCATCTCTCTGGGCCAGCTCTCTGTCTGCAAGATGTGTACAATCGCTCTCCTTTTACAGGTCTCCTCTATTTAAATAGTGATCTATCACTTCTCATTATGTTTCTATACAGGATCTAGCATAGGGACTTGCTCTCTGTGTGGAATTGCAGGATTAGGACTAAAGGCTTTTTTTCCCTCCCTCTGTTTATCTTAAAATTGGTCATTTTTACCCCATCTCTGATGGAAAACAAAAATCAAGCTATATCTTTAGGTATTCAGGCAATATGAGATCCTAGCAGAAGATGCTACAAGTCAGTCTCCTGATGGTTAGTTAGGAGAAATATTTTGTTTAACATTTTTGTTGCTCCAAGCTCCAACTCATTTAAGTGCTAAATCCTCTGCTTAACTTTTAACATATGCTTTTCCTCCATTATCTTTGATGCCAAATGTCTGAAGTTAAAGGTAAGCGTGCTCTTAAATGCCTTTCTGAACTGGGGTCTTAAACACCGCATAATGATGCTCTTCCAAAGACAGATAAAATAATTCCCTGAAACAGTCTCCTTCCATTTGTACACTGGAAAAGAAAGGATCCAGATCAAGTGAAGACTGACCTGATGAAATGGAGTGTATGGTCAAAAGGAAATAGCTGCTAGGAGCTGCATGTGGAAACTTAGGAGCTTTATTCCAGATTCACTGATACCAGAAAATGTCTAAGATGTGATTAAAGTGCCCGAGTGAATGAGTCCAGCTCATTTTTTTTTTCCCGTCCCTGTTCGGGCGCCATAATGCGGAGAAGGGATTTGGAGAAGTACTGAGACGACTCAATATGAGTTAGCTGCAGGAAGTCTCGTTTATTGCGCAGTTCTTATTGCTTATATAGACAGTATTTGCCAATAATCCTGAGACCACACCTTTTCTACACCATTATTGGATGATACATATGCTTGTCATATTTAACAGCTTATTTCAAACAGGTACCCGCCTAGCGAAGCTCTGCTCTAAGCAAACACTACTCCCTTATCATACTGCATAGTTTTCTTATCCTTAACTTCAAGGGCATTCTGCCCTTGAGGCCTAACTTTAGAGCTCCAGTCCTTATTTACACAGGATTTTCTTCGTGCAGTCTCTTCAAGGATCTGCACTCCGACAAAATGGGTTAATGGAGGTGGTCCACTATTGTAAGGAAGGAGGAGGAGGAGATCCAGTGAAAGGATAAGTTAGGATCCCAAAAGTGAAATATGTTATGAGCTCAGGCAGTTGGGTGATTGAAGTGGGATTGAAGAAGAGGAGGAATGCTTCAGAAGGGCAGTGGAAAGGAACAGCATCTTGTACACCTTGTCTAGCCAGGCATGGTGACCTGACCACTGTACTCCAGCATCATGGCTAGTGCTCCCTTCTGCCACCAGGAAGCCTAGATCCTCACTCAGTGATGAAGGCGGCATAGGGAAGGCATAAGTGTGGGTTAGCTGGAGGGGAAAGTCCCATCCAGTATCTTTAAAACATTATTTGAGCCCAAACACCTTGTTCCCACAGCCACCAGTCTTCAGAGCCCTCGTTGCCACTTTCACAGAGAAAAATTTTGCACTTACCAGCGACAAAGTCAAAAGAACTTAATATGTTCCTCAAATTTCAGGTGATAGAATTAAACTTTGTCCTACGATACCAGACAGCCCTGAGCCACCTCTGGGCTCCCTCACAGTATATCAGTACTTTCATTACCAGAGCTAGAAGTAGCACACCAACTCAGAGGTGTGGCATAAATAAAAGACATTATTTTAGGAAGTCCAAATATATAAAGGAACTAAAGCAGCTTAAAGCACTCCATCAAGTTTCACTTGAGCTTAGACTACAGAGAGCTTTTCTCGCTTTTACGAATCTAATTTGTCAACTGCCCCAAGAGCTGAGCAGGCTTTTCAGAACGTCTGCCCCAGCTTTGGGCAGGAAAAGGTGGACAGTTGAGATCATTCAGACCCACCTTCAGTGCAGCCACCTCACCTGCCATCCGCGCGCTGCCAGCAACAGTCAGGGCGCTGAGATGCTGCCGAAACACTTGGCCCATGTTGCGGAACTGGACCCCCTCCATCCGGAGCCGACTCGCCTCTCCCTGGAAGGCCTCCACAACCACGATGGCCCCCAGGTCCCGAGACCCCAGCTGCTGCTCACTGCGCTTGTACAGACACCTGGAGCGACCTAGAATACAACCCGGTGGGAGCTGTCAGTGTTACTTCTCCATGGTGACCATGGGATGTGCAGAGCGCCCCGAGCAACATCATGAGACCCACCACATAGATTCAGTCGGACTCTATCTCCAGCAGCGATCTTAAACATGGGCCCAAAGACAAATAGCTACAGGCAAACACATTTGATACTCCCCCTAAATACTCTCACGGCTCCTTCCCTAAGAGTCTGGACATTTTTAGAGGAACATATATTAAAACCAGCAGGAAGACATGGCATTTTTATGCCTTGGAAAGCTCCTTGTGTTCAATTTTAAATAGTCCTATGCATAGGGAAGATGGATTTGACACTGATTTACCTTGGGTGAGGTTCTTGAAAAGGAGATTGGGCATGGATGTACTGAACTAAAATGAAATGAGAACACTTAGAAATTTATTTAAAACTTGCTCTCCTGACTCTTCCTGCAGATGGACGGGGAACTTTCCTGAAGACAAGGAAAATAAATCATAAAGCTGGGGAGGACATCGACATTCTTAACAGATATCCTTCCATGGTTCTAGACTTAGGATATTTTGGTATGAGGGGATTCAGGCTACAAATGTGTAACTTGGGCTTGTTCAGTGAAGGTGCAGAGGTGATCTCAAAATATGGCCTGGCCTGCTTATGCTCAGTAATGATTATTTTTCTTTTAAAGAAGGTAAATTAACTACAAAAAACACTGCTCACACATCTTCCAGTGACTCCTTTCAGAAACCCTCCTATCCTTTAACCTAAATAAAAACCTCAAATGGTTGGCACATTTCAGAGACTATATTTGCAAGTTCCACAGAAAATGGACCATAAATCCACGAGTAATATAAGCAGTTGGCTGCTGGATATCAAATAAAGTTTTGTGTCGCAGTCTGAAAGCCCAAGGCATTTGATTTTTAAAGGAAACTTTACACCTGGTTTGCCAGATTATCTAACTCCCCTCAAATTATAATCACTGTCTGATTCTGCTTCCTCATCAGCTGGGGTAAATTAGGAAGCCACCTGTCAAATTTCATGCTGTTTCATATAGGTAAAACTAAAGGACAACTGAGAAACCTAACACTGCTTCACCAGTGTTACTATACGCTACAAGAAACTGTCACCCGTTATTTTTTCTTGGTATCCCTAAACACTAAACATCATCTCAATATTTTACACTAAAGAGTACAAACAGCATTGGGCTGTTTTGTTTTTCCTTCTTCTTAAAGTGACTAAATAGTAAACACAATTAAAAATTTAATATATTATATACACTGAAACATGTTTTCAGAAGACACTTTCTTTTCTACACCCTTAGGCTCAGGCAAAACCAAAGGGTCTTTCCCAAGATGGCTTGAAAAAACAATGTGAAAATAATACATCTGAGATATTATAATGAAAGGCAGTTCAACTCCTGAGACTTCACACTTCAATGTCAAACAACATTTGGAAAGATAAACTCGCTTTCCTGGAGTTGATACGTTTCAAAGTTATCCTATTAAGAAAGAGTTCTAGTACACAGTGATACCACAATGTGACTTTAAAGGAGCGATTTTCCTCCTCGGTACATTTTTGTGAGAAAACACTTCCTCACCTCTTGTAACACTGGTTGTCACACACTGTCTGGTGTGCAACATCCTCTCCATCGTGACATTTCCTTGAACAACAACCCTTCTGCTAACCAGCACCACCAGGGCACTCAAGGGCAGACCTTCACCGTTCGCCCATCCCTCTCCCACACTGTGGGAGTACCTAAGGAAAGACACAAAAAAGGCACAAAAGCATCTGCACCTGCCAGATGACAAGAACAATGTTTACCCTAAGCTTATGACAGCAACCACCTAAATTCAGAGCTGGTTTCAGTCCTCTTCTCACTATGAGTCCTCTTTGGGCAACCTGGTGTAGCGGAAGGTATCCCTGCCCATGGCAGGGGGGTTGGAACTAGATGATCTTTGAGGTCCCTTCCAACCCAAACCATTCTATGATTCTATGATTCTATGATTCTATGATTCTATGATTCTATGATCAGCAGCACACCCAATGTGTCTGCATATATGGGCTAGATATATTCTTCCTTGGCCAATGTTTGTTTTCATCCTTTGTCTCTCAAGCTCACAAATTTGCCTTAGACTACGTATCTTTACAACAAAATATTTCAGTCTTTGAATTTTCTTCCCAAAACTTATTTGGGTGAAAATTCTCAGTACTTTCTTCCTCAAGCCTCAAATATTTCTGAAAACAATACCATTAATCTTCTTGGGCATTGGAGTTGGGTTGCATCCCAAACAGATAACACATTTCAACCCTGGGGCTCCAGGTGACAATGATAAGAGGTGCAGTTTGTCCAAGATCTCCATGCACAGCAGACGAAGAGAGCATAGGACAGTGAAACAACCACTCACTGGAAACATGGAAGCAGTATTTCTAAATCAAAGAAATTAACTTCAAGTCTGTTGTTAATCAGCTTAAGTAAATCAGTCAAGAAGGGAGGATTTATTTAGTTTTTTTACAGAAGTCAGACACTTCTTGTGGAAAAAAAAAAATCACTTTCTCAAGAAATTATCTATGCAAGAAATTTCTTTGTCAGCCCTATGCTGAGGCCATTGGGCTGTACTGGCCATCAGCGTTTTCTGCTTCAAAGGTTTTCTGAGTTCATGGGCATGATACAGAATTCAAAGAGTCAAACTTTCAGGATTGAACATCCAATAGCTTTAGGGGGAGGAAGGAACCGAAATATCTCTGACCACCTTTGTTAAAGGGATTTATATAGTTATTATGTCCCACAGGAAATGTCAAATCCTCACCTAGACCAAATTTTCCTCTGGTTTAGCTCTCTGCTATAGAAATCCCCCTGGCCCTTGAAAGGATACCTGAGTGGTGATCTAATGTACAGCTCTGTGTTGTTCACAGACTCAATAACAGCCATTTCTTCCTGCTGCTGTGCATCTTCAAAGCCTGTCCTTCCCACCATGATTTCATCTCCAGGTTGCCAGTCAACAGGTTCCTGGAGCACTAATCGTGTATCGTTAGTACGAGCTGATGATTTCAAGTGTGTGAAAGCTACTTTGGGCATCCAGCCTGGAAAAAAAAAAAAAAGAGAAAAAAATATTTAAAAAAGCAAGTCAATCAATATGAAAAAAGAGGAGCAGCATGGTTAGAAAACACTGCCTCACTTGGATCATCCTGCAGCTATTAATTTCTTTTTGATGCTGTATAAGAGAGGCAGGATTAATGCTACAAAAGAGGATTTGTGCATATCTGCTTGGATCAAAAATGCAGCACTTTCCAAACAACACCTTCATTTCATATCTTTTGGGTTTTATTGGTCCCCAAAACCTGAAAAAAACATGCCGGAAAGAAGTTTGCTCAACAAGCAGTGGATCTGAGGTTCAGTTTCATTCCTCCAAACTGACTTCCCTACGTGAGAAACACCCTCTTCTTAAGCATCCTTTATAACTAATGGAGAAAAGCACTGTCTGCAGCGACCATCCTCCTCCTCTGAGTGCAAAAGCACTTCAAATTATCAGATTCCCTGGTCAAGTGTCCAAAATAACATGCAATGAATCTAAGTCCACAAGTAACTTGCATTCACAAAAATACACGCTTCTATTAGTAACAGTTCAGTGACATATGGAAAGACAAATATCACCAGTTCCAAAAACTTTTAAAGAGTGACTACAGATTGCTGAGCCAGCAACACAAGGTTGTCTCAAAATTGTCTTAAATGGAGGATCCAAAATGAGGGGTCATTTTTTGAAATCTTGGGTTAGGCAGCTTAAACATTGGTTATGAAAAGAATTTGCTTGAGCCTTTTTCATCCAAAACCAGAAAGAGCACCACATACTATTTTAAATGTAACTTTGGGGAATTTTTTCCAGAAAACTTGAATCTCAGAAAACACTGCTGTAACATATTCTTGGTGAAGCCTTAGTCTGGTTAGACTTGAAAACAGATTTTCAACTGTAAGGTTCAGTTGATGTGAAGGTCACGTAACATCCCTGGAGATGGATTACAGGTTTGGCAAGCAGTGTGAATATATGGGGCAGCATGACGGCAAGATGAAGATGACCTCCCTGCATCAGCAACCTTAGGTCACCACTGGAAGGAAATAGCAAGGTTGCAACTGTATTCTCCCAAACTCCCTCCTTTTTGATAGACAGACATACTACCAAGTCTGTGTATAACAAGCGCCAACAACAAAAAGTCTTGCCATTTCACCCACCCTTCTTCACTTCATGATGTTTGCTTTAACTCTTGATATTTCTTTTTCCCTAGCAGGCTTTGGAACAGATTGGTCCAGTGAGATCCAACACACTGAACACCATCAGGGAAGAGCATGTTCCTCACACACCCACCTTTAGTATATTTTTCCTTCCCTCCTTTGCAATACATCATAATTTACCTTTAGCCCACAGCAAGTTACTGTCCTCCCTGGCTGCACTACAGAAAAGTAATAACACCAGAAATCACTGAGGGTAGAGGTTGCATCCAATAAATCATTTTCAAATTATATTAAGCAAGCTTCTCTCTCTCCATTTCCTCTTTCACTTTCTGTTGCTCATACTCTAGCGTCCCAATTCTTTCCTTAATGAAGACGGAAATAAGAAGTAGCACCTCCAAGTCAGTGAATTCACAGCAGAACGTGAGAAGGAAGAATCAAGTCTTTATAGTCTGCCATCTTGAAGTATATTTGAGCACCAACTCTGTGTGTCAATGAGTTGATGGGTATCTAAATCTGGCTGAGATACTTCTGGCTAATTATCTTTTCTTTTTTCATCAATCAGAATTGAAATTTCTCAACTTACAGCTAAGCAAATCTCTCAGACATCCTTCACTTAATGTGCTTCAGTTCATGTCATGGAACTGTTGCAGAGTGCATCAAATGGATTTCCTTCAGATAAAACTAATGCATAACTTGTAATCATAGAATCATAGAATGGTTAGAGTTGGAAGGGACCTCAAAGATCATCTAGTTCCAACCCCCCTGCCATGGGCAGGGAAACCCTCCACTACACCAGGTTGCCTAAAGCCTCATCCAACCTGGCCTTGAAATCCAGTAGGACACATAGTACACTTTAGACATTAATGGAACCAGACTACTATGACTCTACAGTAGCACCAAAAACACGTACAGTGTGGACCCTGCATCCTCAACACCTACACCATTCACTCCACAGATCTGCTTCTATTAAGCCACACTGTATTCTAATGTAGACATAGCCAAAGCCCAGCTTGCACCATTCATGAGCACAGATATCAAAGACTTCCCCTGTGAAACCTCATCCCCAGCACAGCCTTAGCCAGCTCCAAAAAGTCCTCTTGATATCAGCCTATGTGCATTCTTTTACTAGCAGCAGTCTCATCATCTTCATTCATTTACCTTCTTCCATTGAGTGATCCTCGTGAATTTTTAGGACTCGCATAAAAGCAAACGACTGACAGCAGCCATCTGCATGTTGAGCAGCATAAAATTCTTCTCCAGCTCTGGACATTTTGTTTATATTACTGATTTGTGTTCATGTGTTAATGTGTGTGTGTGTGTGCATCTGTGGCCAGACACACAACTGACTCCCACTGTGTACATCTGTCACATACATACTACAGCAACACTGCTGGGCAACAACTCTTGTCACTAAAAGGTGCCAACCACTGTTCTGCATTCAAAATATGCTCTAATGGAAAAGGCTTGTTTCAGGCTTTTTTCCACTTCCAAGCTCTGGAAAAAAAAAATTATTAAGGAAAATCTTCTCAAGCTTTTTCCTTCTAAAAGAAGTGTATTCAAGGTATCTAAACATCCCCCTCTTTTTTCCCCTTTTTCTTTTTTGACTTCTTACTGTGCTCTCCCAGCCTTCCTTGCTGTCTCCCATTCCACAGTTTGTTTTACCTTCTTCCTGACTATTTAGGTGGGGTAGGGTATTTCTTTGTATGTCAGATCTACTCCCAATTTCCAACACTTTTAGTATATTTTCTTTAGGAGGAGGGGGGAAGAAGTCTATCAGATTCCTCTTTCCTTACTTCTTATCTATAATCCAACGTAAAACACATCTGTAGTCAGATTCTCCTCTACCCTCACAGCACAAGTGACCCACTGGGTTTGGTCAGTGATATTTTTCTGGTCACTTCACCAGGGAGGGACCATAACTGAGCTTCTTTGCCTTAACTAATATATTCCCAGCCTCATGGTTTTGGTGGGAACCCATCATAAACCCACACAGAAATGTACTACACTGTTCCTCAAGCAGTCATCATCCATTGCTGTTTAAAATTACCCCATTACCCTTTCTAAAACATATTTACAGCTGATAACCCTAAAATTTCTTTTTCTTTTTCTTTTTTTGAAAGTGAGTGTAACATTGAGAACTATGTCTCACATAGTTCTAATTATAGGAAAACATGCAACCCCCATGTTCTCCAACTTCAGTATTTAATAGGTTTAAATGAAGATGGCTTGAAAAACAGCACAACTTCCACCAAGTCCCTAAGTCACTATCACCACTGGTGTCTGCAGTTGGCTTGACTTAGTTCAGAGACTGTAGTTGGGTTTCAGGTGCCTAAACATGTCATTTTGGATGTACGATTGGCCTCCAGTTGCTGTTCCAGAAAGGCATTGGTCTGACCTAAGTCCCATGTCCTATCATCTGCCAGATTCACACAGATACCTTGGATACCATTCAGAGTTTATATTAAGACTCAGGTAAATGAACTGATGGCAGGCACCTAAATCAAATTGCTCCTGTTTCTTGAAGAAGTTTCCAGGCTTCTGCTTATCTCCCAAGAGTAGGCTGACTGGTAGGGTACACCACTTTTCAGAGTCACTCCTCCATCCACCTTCTAAATGGAGAGGTTAAATGTGCTGATGAACAGGAGGAACCGATCTCCAGCTGGGAGACAACCTTTGTTTCCCAGAGGTCTTCTCCACCTTCTCTCCTTCAAAGAACCAACGGGCTCTCTATGAAGATCATTAATACCTAGAGTTCCCTGGAACAAAGACCTTGTCTCTGCAGTCTGGCTGCAGGACAACCCTTCAGAGGCCCAGAGCTCTCTATCTTGTTTTCCCTTGAAAACAAGCTCTATTTCAAATGAAACAGGCAGGGTTCATAAAATAACTTTCAGTGATTAGGACTGGACAGTGAAACAGGTAAATAAATGGCTTGTTTGAGAGTAGAAGGTTTAAAAGACCAACAGCTGCAGTATATTTCTTCCCCCCAAAAGTACTGCAAGCAGAAACACTCAAAAGTACTGAAAAATAGATGAATCTGTATAACTCCTTAATTATTGAACTCATATTTAATAATTAACTAAGCTCAGACTGGAAAAAGAACACATCTTGAGATCCAAAGGAGAAGTGCCTTCATGTTATAGGGACAGGACAGAACCTTTAGACTCCAAATGCTATAGCAGGCAAAGCAAGGATTGAACACTTTACTAAATCACTTGATAAAGATACCCTTAAATACTCAACTGAGCAGAACCGTGTTATCAAATGGCAACTCAGAAATGCAAGGAGCTTGAAAGCAAATTCCAAAGTGAATTAAACACAAATCATATCATAAGGCACATCTTGGCACCAAGACCTTGGTCGTTGCCTTAAAACGCCTTCCAGCTTCCACCAGAAGTTAAGAGAAACTTGGATTGACACTGGACACCAAAGGGGATGCACAGTTTGTCATCTATTATTTGTATTAAAGTAAGGCCCACCACGCTAGATAGACACCTAACGGAGTCTCTCCACTGGATACAGAGAAGTCCTACCACAGCACTCACTGACCCAAGGAGCCTACAACTGGGTGCTTCACTGCATGCAAACATGGGTGAGGCTTCCAGAAGACAAAGTTATTAATCTTGTTGCACACAAAAGAAGGTGGCGAGGAGACGCAGAAGGGCTAAGTCGCTTGTTTGAGGCTACGCAAGTGTCTGGGATAAAGCTGGGAAGACAGTTTCTTCTGAGCCAGTCTAGTTTATCAAAAACGAAGCCTCCTATATCTAACACATCTAAAAAACACCACTTACATTCTTGTTAGAATTTTCAGTTACTGCTTGCTGTTCAGATATTAGCTCCAGAGGCAGGTGGCTGAATT